TTAGACGTCAAAGTTTCAATTGAAGGTAACGGTTTATGCACTAGTGTGTATTACAAACCTACAGACTCGCATAATTACTTGTTATATTCGTCTTCTCATCCATCTCACGTTAAGAATTCCATTCCTTTTTCTCAGTTTCTAAGACTTCGTCGTTTATGTAGTAATGACTCTGATTTTCACCACAAATCAGAGTCAATGTGCCAGTTCTTCGATAAACGTGGTTACCCTGTTTCCGTCGTTCAAGCGGGTTACCACCGCGCTCAACTTATTGATCGACATTCAGCACTACAAACGTCGCATAAGGAAGATTCCGACCGCATTCCATTCACTCTCACGTTTCACCCTCACAACCACTCAGTTAAATCCATCATTCTTAAAAACTTCAAATTACTTCAAAACGATCCAGAGACAAGCACTATCTTTTCGCAGCCTCCGCTCATTTCATTCAAACGCGACAAAAACTTAGGCAATTTTTTGGTCAGAAGTTCTTTTCAGACTAATGAGCAACCAGGCACTTTTAAATGCGCTCGTGCGCGATGCAAAACGTGTCCTTTCATTCACAACACTGATAAAATATCGGGACCTAAACGATCCATTAAGATCACCGATCACTTCACGTGCACCTCCGCTAATGTAATCTATTGCATAACTTGCACTTATTGCAAAAAGATATACATCGGCGAAACGGGCAGAAGACTAGGTGACCGATTCCGAGAACACCTTCGAGACGTGGAAAGGAATGACAAGGACACATCTAAACCAGTCGCTAGACATTTTAATTTACCTAATCATTCTAAGCAACATATGGCAATCTGCGGTCTTTCCTTGCACTTAGGTGGCACGGAAAGCCGTAAAAATCTTGAACAAAAGCTCATCTTTCAAACCGGCAGTCTCAATCCCACAGGGATCAATGAACGCTTTTCATTCCACTAATTTATTCATGTTTTTCTCGTTGCCATGCACCCACCAATAACGTAGCTCCATTTTCTGCCTTTAAAAGCACACACAACCCACAATTCCTCTATTCGCTCCGACGAAGGGCTAACGCTCGAAACGTCAGCTTTTGTAATCATTACGGTGGCCAATTTACCATTTCAACTTTGTTGATATATCCAATATATTCGGGTACAAGGTTGTTAACAGTTTTAAGCATTAAAGATTTCAATTGTTTTGCACGTCTGTCAGTGAGGCTTTCCCATTTGAGACCCTGTTATTATACGTGTCTGTAATATTAATTAAAGGCGAACGAGTGGATAAAGTAACATCCTCGGTCTCATGGTTGCTCTTATCTCCCAGAGCCAGTGCTTAATTTGTTCTCCTCTGTTGCGCGCATAATACATACAAATACGTGATGGAATGTTCGAAATATCACTTATGAGGTTTATGGGCTTTTCTGCGCGACCAATCTTTCTTCGCCCGCACAAGCCAAATTTATGTCCAGAAATGCACGTGGTAACGAAATGGCGAAAATTCGTCAAATTCGCCGGGCTGATTTCACTTTGACGCATTTGACCAAACATTACGACTTCAACACGGACAAAAGTGTATAAATTCATGAAGAATTCCGGTTCTCAATCGACGCAATAAGGCGCTAGAATTACCGAGAGATACTGGACACCACTTAGTATCCTAGCGAACGATTGCAGATTCATCAAAACAGAGTTAACTCTGATCAAAACAAGTTGACCGGCCTTCTCGATCGCAAACCTGTCTTGATCGCTCAAGCTAAAGGCACGGTTGAGTAAAACCGAGATGGCGCTTCCAAAAACTGTTGGCTTCAAAGTTGAAGCAGTCGATGAAGAAGGAGTTTGGTGTGCGTGCACTGTTAAAGAAGTGAACGATAATTTCGTGATCGTGTCCTTTGACGGCTGGAATGCGGAGTGGAATCGCCGCGTCTGTGATCCACGAGAGGTCAGGGATCGAATATTCAGTTCGTTTGTTTACGTCACAGGCAGCCCAAGCTCACTACAAGAAAAGCGGACGTGACTCTTACCGTGTTGCGCAACGTTTTATATTTATAAAGGTTTGTATGGGATGTTATCGGTTTGCCTTAAAAGAGAGTAAAAAATGTCTTGTACCCGAATACCTGTCTAACAAATTCACCAGCGTAAATACAATCCAAAGGCATAATTTACGGGGCGCCCAACACAACTTGTTTATTCCGCGGCCGAATAAGGCTAAGCAGGCGACTACCTTAAATAGCTTCTATTCTTCTATTGTATGATATTAATAACTAACTTAAAGATTTCTTCTTAATAGAGAGTAGTTTTTAAGTCATAGTTGTAAAGTATTAGGTACTACATGTTTAGGGTTAATTGACCACTTTCAAAAATGGCTGCCGGATTAATATTCTTTTGTTTAAATTCAAATTAGCCTTTCTGGCCTCGCTTGAGATGATGTATTCTTTTGAATTTTGTACTGGAGAACGAGGCCAGAAAGACTAAGTTAAATTTAAACAAAAGAATATTAATCCGGCAGCCATTTATGAAAGTGGTCTATAAGCACGGTCTATAAGACCACTTTTCTTTTAGTGATACGGATTCCGTGATTAAATAAAGTGATTAATGATTAACACGTAGACTACTGTATTACTTATATTTCGCAAGTTTTATGCTAATTAGATAAAAGCTCTTGGAAGCTCGCTAACGAGAGCGTGATCTTGTAAGCGACCAGCGCCACTTTACAACCCCTTTTTCGAATTCCCGAGGGTCTTCGCTTACGAGAGCTTCGACTGTAGTCTATTTTGGTAGTCGATTGGGATAATATGTGGATTCTGAGTCACTATTTGTCCATCATAGATACGATCCCCGTTGTTGTAGACGGTTACGCACGACAAATAATATTGTAGTAAGTAAAAAAAGGAAAACAAAATTTAAGTGAACTTGAGAAAGCGAGCGTTAGTGTTTTATGTGCTGGTTTGATCCCAGTTTATTTTTAATTTTGTAAAACTTACCAGTTATTTCATCAACGGCACTATTCTCTACCTTGCACTCTGTTTCCTCAGTAACGGAACTCGCCATCTTGAACGGATTTTCGGATTTTATCACGAGTGAAACAGAAAACTTTAGATTACCAATTATTTATAAACGCCGTTGCCTAGTTCCTCTAGTAAGAGAAAAAAAAAAATCAGGCAAAGATACTCTTCAATCCGAAGAAGCTCTCGGTAAGTAGGGAAGTCAACTCACGTTGATCAGTTCTCAGAAACTTGGTAATCTATTTCCGAGAATCTATGCCTACCGAAGTAAACTGTTACGTTAAGGGCCTGGGGCCCGATTTTCGAAAGCTCTAGTAACGGTCTCGGTTAGTGATATCAGCCCAGCCTTCGGCTTCGGCTGATAACACTTACCTCGACCTTGATTATTCCGGATATCACAAAAACTTCATCCAATAATTGCTTATAATTTGCATTTACTTAAAAAAATTTGATTTTCCAACGGAATAACTTTGTCTCACCGATTATCGCATCCTTCAAGTATAAGACCAACCAGGGCCTAATCTAAGTTAGCCTAGGTTTCCTGAGTGGGTGCACCTGAGTAGGGAAAGGAAAACACTTATGCTCTCAGATTCTCAGTGTTAACGAGCGTTCAATCAAAGTTTTCCTCCTTTTTTTTTTTAATTTTTTTTACTTCAGAATGCGCGGAGATCTTCTTAAACTTAGAAAAATGCCCATTTCTCGTCTTCTTTGGAGCTACCGATTGAAACTTCATGGAGAAATACAGCGTCACACCATCGTGATAATGTACACGTTTATGGCAAATGACCGGTGAAGGAATAGTTTCGTGAAGATCAGCCAACTTTAACATGTTTCAAATGACATACAAGTATAACAGTGTATCTTCAGAGGATTTCGGATTGCTCAAATTCCTGTGAAAGAAGGTGCAGCACTCGAAATCTGGATGATTTGCACACGCTTTGAGGTATACGTCTGTTACGTCGAGTAGCCCCCCCCCCTCCCCCCATTAAGCCTGATCAATTTTTTTAAAAGATGACAACCAGAGGCGCTATTTCTGTGCGGGATATTGCTCATAAGATGACACTCTTTCCAAGCCTTACACGTTTCATTTGTCTGAGACGTTTGCTGCTGAGAACATTAGATGTAAACATCGCCAAATTATTCAATATCTGATTTTTGACCTTCGTTCGCGAATTGCCCGTATGAAAAGTAGAGGCCGGTCCGCAGACATTTTTACATATTTAAAAACTAGAGTGTTATAATCAACTAGGTGGGTAGTTTAAGTTCCAGAATCGGTGTACTTTTTGAGAAATTCAGGTAAACGTTTTCCCTGTTTTAAAAATGATCGAAACTGTACCGAGGTAAATAATCTATTGGTGTGTTCACATTCACTCCCAGGAAAAATTGAATGCATCAAAGTAAGACACATAATATCACTATAAATGGTAGAAGTACCAATCTGTAATGTTATATTTAGCTTGAGATAGAAAAATAAACATTTTACTCTTTTTTTGAGATGTTTTTGTATAAAAATGAAGCTCCAGGCCTCGAACAAGCAGCCGTTGTTACCATGGCAACAAGAGTGCTGTAATCTTTCAAAAGGGCATTTTTTTGCATCCTTTCTGAGTGCCTAACTGCGTGTAAAATTTGAAGGGGGCTTGAAAATTTTCATTTCCCAATATGTTTGATTCTTACAGACTTGTTCTTAATCTAGGTTTCCTGGGTAGGTAAACGAAAAAACTGTCTGATCGTGTGCTTTATGGCCTGTCTCATTTCTCTCATCTTCTAACAATTCAGGAATGGGTTTAGAGTCGAGTTAAATAGCAACAGAGATATCGCAAGAACCCAGGCGAAGTTAAGCCTGAAAGGTTTATTAAATCCACTGATAGAAATAAAACCACCAACAAAACCATAGGGGAGATAACAAGCCAATGACAGCATTTGAACCCACAGTGCTGTCGACACTGTTTTTCTGTATCTCACTTTGTTCAGTTGAATTCCTTCTCCATTCTGTTTTCCTTGGTGAGCTTGATCTTGCACTTGGGCTTGAGAAAGGCGAAGGGTGCGATAAATTTTGGTGTAGCAGAAACAGGAGATAACTAAGCATAATAACAACACTGCAGAAGCGATGCTGATAGCAATGTGTAGATTGTAAAAGAATACTATTGCATTGAGAGTGCTGAGGACCCAAAAAGTAAAAGCGAGAAGTCTTACTCGCATCTCAGTTACTACCTGTCTGTATTTCAGCTCCAGCAACAGAGCGAGAAGTCTGTCCACACTTCATTGTGCTGTCATTGTCAGCAGCGATACCGCGCAGAATATTGAACCAATAGTATTAAAAAGTACTTCAGAGTAGTGACAACCCTTTGAATGTTCTGAAGACATGAAGTGAACACTGTAAAGAGGTTGTGAAATGAGGCCCACGCCCAGATCTGTGCACGCAAGACAACCGAGCAATAGTTTGGAGGGCGGATGAAGGCACGACACCTTACGAAGAGTAACGATGATCAGAAAATTTCCTACAAATGCAAAAATGGATAGAGGAAGATTTGTTGCTAAAAGGAATATCCTCTGAGCTGCTCCGGGAGCAATAATGTAGAAAAACTCTGGGCTTGTTGTCGTATAATTTCCATCCACAGTTAAATTCGACAATGATTTGATCCAGGCTTTTTCTCTATTCGCAATCCAAGCTCTAGTAACACTGTTTTGGTTAATTTACAGCAGTCAGTTTTTACCTCTCCAAGCTCTCTTTGTCTCTTCTGAAAGAAAGAAAGTTATCTCTTATCCACAAGATCATATTACAAATAAACGACATGATATGATGGTGGTATATTCCTAAGTATTGGCGATTTCGCCGCCAAACATGGAACTTTATCGTTTGGATCGGTCGCGAGCCCAGCTGTGACTATTCGTGCTAGAGAACAAGAGGTTTTTTCGTGGCTTTCAAAAAATATAGAAACTGTATATTCACAACAGTATATATGGTACACACAAGAAACCACCTTTTATAGTATGATAACTTGAATTGAGGCCTGAAACTACGAACAATTTTTTTTTTAAACTGAGACGTTTGGAAAGAACTGATTAAAAATGAGTCATCGGGCTGATCCACAGCATCATCATCGACCCCTCATCCCGATCCATTCCTCGTCGAGTTATAGTTAGGAAAAGTCAATTAGTTGCTGGCGTCTCTTAGCCGCAGGGTAATAGACAGAGAGCTATTTTTCCAATTTGCATCGTTCGTACTGATATGATCCTCGCATCCTCGTTCTTTGAGCCTCTGACGGGTGACACAGGTGCCTCCGGTCCCGGCCTCCATTATTATCACGTCATAAAGAACTTCACAAACACAAAATAAAAATTGCTCTCTTGATAACTAAATATAACATTACAACTGGGGTTTTTTGTCGCTTGAAGTACAGAAAACTGAGAGTTGTTTTCGAAGATATATCACATGTGTACGCCACAAACAGGCTAAACCCCAAACATTTTCGGGAATCCAACTTGATCGAGATTAATGGTGAAAAACCCCTTTTCAACACTCTGAGCTGCGACCATTTTGGTCGCCATGGTAGGTGAAAAATATATTTGGCGACTAAATTTTCGACAAAAGTCGCTAATTTGCGACCAACAGATAAAAAAGAGAGACTTAGAAAATTGTCGATCTTTAGTCGAATTCTCAAACGAAAAAAGCAAGTATCTCCTGTGTTCGTCTTTTTCTCACATAAATTAATCTTTAGTTTCGTGTCACGTTCTCTCTGCAGTCGCCGTTGTGGTTTCCTTAAGGTCTCTACTGTCAGTGAGTGCCACTCATTAGAAAGGGTTAACAGATAAAAATGATGCACGCGTCATGACAGGTTCAAAACTTTCAGTTATTTTCTTACCTGTACGCCTTGATATGAATAAAGAAAGGAACTGAAACTAGAAGAACTTCAACCCTAATTAACTAGAAGAACTTCAACCCTAATTAATTTATTTTTAAAATGGTCAAATAATAGCAGGGTGCTGTGTCCTTAAAACTGTTTCCTTTCCTTTATTTTCGTAGAGAGTTTGATTGGTTAGCAAATTAAGGCAATTAATAGAATCCCTATTTTCAAGGCATGAATGGGAACCTTCTTGTTTTTCAGCCAGGCGGCCAAGGTGCCATAAACACAAATTACACTTAGCATATCTTATGTTATTAAAAACTGAATCCGATTGAGCTGACAACACCTCACACAGACAGCTGTTGACATCTGTGAAGGTTATTAGAGAGGAAGTTATTTCAATTTTATCTTCTTCGCTAGAGCTTGCCAACGATTGGTTGTCGCCAACAAAGTATAAAGGGGCACTATAGAAAATGACGGCCAACGAGGGGAGATCATACCAATATCACAGCGTCTTCTGTGAGGATCAGGTCAATTTTGTGGGGATACAATCACACAATTAAAGTGATATTTGACAACTACCACGGTTATCTTGTTGAAAAAATGCTGATTAAACAGCCTTTGTATGATTCATTTATTGACACTCTTTAGCAGCTTTCGAGTTTACAATTGCTGATGCTCTAAAAGAGAGTTCGAAGTGTCATAATTTGCGTTTAAACAATTACACAAAAATTTTATTTTGCAACGGAATAACTTTGTCTGAACCGATTATCGCTCCCTTCAAGTATTAAACAGAGGGCCTTATCTTACTTAATCTAGGTTTCCTAAGTAGGGAAACGACAAAACTGTCTGATCGTCTGCTTCAAAGCCTGTCTTATTTCTCTGATCTTCCAACAATATAGGAAAGGGTTTAGAGTCGAATTAAATAACAACAGAGAAATCGTAAGAGCCCAGGTGAAGTTGAGGAAAGGTGTGTTCGATCCACTGACATAAATAAAACCAGCAACTGAACCAAAAGGGAGATAACAAGCCAGTAACGCCATTTGTACCCACAGTGCTGTGGACACTGTCTTTCTGTATCTCGCTTTGTTCAGTTGAATTCCTTCTCCATTCTGTTGTCCTTGGTGAGCTTGATCTTGCACTTGGACTTGAGGAAGGCGAAGAGTGTGATAAATTTTGGTGTAGCAGAAAGAGGAGATGA